GTGTGTGTGTTTGTGTGTGAAGGAGAATGAGAGTTACTGAGAGGGATGATGCAATAAAAGGAATCATTTTCACTGATAGGTGTTCAATAAAGATGTGTTACAGCATTTTTAAAATTCAGGTCAAGCACTGAGGGAATGATCTTCAAGAAAAACATCGAACAGGATTCATTACACAGCTTGAATGTCAACCTGATCACTACCACTGAGAGCCCTGACATTTGAATTGACCGTCAGTCCAGCAGGAGAAGATGCTTAGAAATGTGTGTATGTCTATGTGTGTGTCTAATTAGAAGTGTATGTGTGGGTGTGGGTGTGTGCAGTGCTTCATGTGCTTGTGTTTTTCGTGTGCACTGACACAGGTGTGTGTGTGTGTGCTGACAGGGGAGAGGATCAGTGTAAGTTATGACTTTTCTGTAGATGTGATTAGCCCTTGTCACTGTGAGGATTACTAATACATAAGGATTCATAAAACATAAAGCCTCCAGCGTTTCTTACCTTCAGCACAATGTGAGGGGAATCCAATTATACAAAGTGTAAAAGTCTGAATAATACGAAATAGAAAAAGCCAAAAAGGGATTTTTAAGTGTTTTGGGCTCAAGTCCAGAAAGTCTGTGTGGCTGCTCTCCCCCACCCCATCTCTACTGGCATGTATTCAGATGATATCAAATGAGGTTAAATCTGCACTTACTGAAAAATAATGTCTGCAGGCTGGTAAAACTTTCATTCCTGTGAGTCAGTACTCTTCCATGCATGAAAAGGGAGTAGAACAAGGAGATATAGTGTAGATATTTTTCTATAAGGGACCAGGTAGCTGGACTTGACTCTCAGGGCTCTGCAGCACAAGCTGCAAACACAATACCTCTCATTTTTTACTGTCCAGGAGCCTGATCTCTTACCATACTAGTAACTCTGTGAGGCTCTGTGAGGCTATAGCTTGACACAACTGTGCTTTGAGCAAAACGCTAACTCAGCATGCTAACATATTCACAGTGACAATGCTAACATTCTGATTCCCAGTTGGTATAATGTTTACTATGTTTTCTATGTTCATTTAGCAGGTTAGCATGCTAATATTTGCTCATTTGCAATAAGCACAAACTGCACTACAGGATGATGGGAATAAGTTGCAAGATCATTAGTTTTGCAGAGACCAAAATATTGATCAAATTAAAATGTTAAAAGCTTGATGAAATGAGTTATTAGTGTACATCCTGAGGGGAATATGAATGTCT